GCTCGTGCACCTGCAGCTGCACCACCTCGTCCAGCCCCGAAATCGAGGAACCACCGGACGGATTTTGTGAGTGCGTTGAGGGGCGCGTCTCTCTCTCTCTCTCTCTCTCTCTCTCTTTCTTTTTCGCGCTGGAAAACGATCCTAGATAACGGTTGCGAGTTGGTTTCCTTCCTCCTCGTTGTTTCCTCTTCCGGTTCGCGCTGCTCACTCATTAGCGACAATATCCTGGCGATTGTCCTGAACCCGTATAAGTGGTTAATCTCTTTCTCTATTTCTTTTCTTTTTTTTCCACCGCGTCGCTCAATTGGATCCTAACATGTACACACACCGCGGCTAGTAATTATCAATTTATCCGATGAATAACATGCTCGCGCGCGCGCGACACCTGCGATTCAATGTCGCTGCGCGGACAGCCGTGTCGCTTTATCACTCACGACAGCGAAACCGAATACCGAGCGAAGCGTCGTATTGCCTCGCGTTGTACTCGCTTTAATGAACCATCGATAATGGTCCCCCCTCCGCTCTCCCCATCGCCCCCGCACCCTCGTGACAGAGCGATGTTCCGTCTTGATTCCAGTGCAGCGCCGTTGGATTAACGCTCTCGAGATATTGTGTGCTATCGCGTTACAAGATGATCTCCCCCGTCTCTCTCGCTGCTTGTGGGTGTCCTTAATCTTTGATTAATTGTATGAAAAAAAAAAAAATATATCACTATTCGGTGCGCCGTATACTCGGTATACTACGCTGCCGGCCGTGTCCGATAACCGAGACGCGAATGCGCTTAAGTAAACAATCTAATGCGTGATGGCAGCAACCGTGTTGTCACGCGGCACTGCCTCTTTTGTCCTTTTGTTTCCGCTCGTGTTGCCTTATAGAAGCACGATTCGTGGCAGAGTGGACTTGTCGGTATAGATATGAAAGGGAGAAAAGAAGAAGAGACAGCTAAAAATACAAAAGCTTGAAAAGTTTGTCGATTGGTTTGCAGGTTCGCGGAACGCAGTCAAGCTGGCTGCCTCCGGCGGTAATCCCGCCGCTGCCGCCGCCGTCGCCGCATCCGCGCATCCTCCCGTGCTTTGGAGCTCCCGCAGGAAGCCGGGTAAGTCCTTTCATCCGTTTGACACGTCGCTCACGGCGATTTCCAGCCAATGTCGGCCCCGCGTCGAACGAGCGTGTCCACGGGGGACGCGTTTGTAACGACGAATGCCTCCCCGCGAGGGATACAGCGGGGGGTAAAAGCGAATTGGGGTCCCGATTAGTTCCGCGACAAATCTGTTCGCGTATTACCAACTTTTGTGCTTCATACAGAATAGATTTAGAATTGCGAAGAATATGAATTGTTGCAGAATCGCTCTGTCTAGTTCGCGGATTAACGGACAGCTGTAAATCTTTATCATTTTTGTTAAGTTTATTGGGAAAAAAAAAAAAAAATCGTTAAACGTGTCGCCAAGGAACGTTTCCTTCTTTCGTCTTCCTTGTTACAATCTTCGTGGTCTCAGAGAATGCGGTAGAACGAGACATCTGTAGATTATCGAATTAACCTGGGGGTTAATTTCAGTGCGACAGGCTAATTTGATACGATTGACGAGTCGCATGCTCGTTTGACCCGGCACGCCTAATCCTGAATCTTTTACCCACAGCTTTCTCTCGTTCTCCCTCCTTCTCACTCCAACACGCGGCAGAGCCGCGTTTCTCGTTTCCATTTACTTCTGCGAAAAAAAAAACCTGCTTTGTTACGCCTCGTCGGGTACATTTTAATTATTTCAATTTTACGTCAATTTTATCGCTGGCTCGGCGGTGTTCCGCTTTTGACTTGAAAAGCCGCGCTCGATCTTGAGCGAAGCAATCCCGCGCGCGGTCCGTCTTACGATTATTCTCAGTGATTAGCCGGCAGCGTGTTTCAGCGCGCGGAGCGGAAAGCACTCGAATGGATACATCAATTAGGATGCGGCTAATTTACGAAGGTTACGGCCTTCCGCTCTCGCGCGCGTGTAGGAGCTCTCGAGTGGTTATATCGCGCCTCCGTCCGGTCGAAAGACGAAGCGAAAATGGCAGCGCGGAAAAACTCTTGACGTAGAAAAAGATCGTAGAACGCCGGTCGTGATGGGTGCGGGCATCGTATTGTCATTGGAATTATAGCGGGCGTGTCAATGCCGAGGAGAGCACGAACTTGCGACAAACGTGCGCCCAGATCGGTCAAGGTTACGATGGTATATCTACGACGTGTCACGTAGAAGTCGCCACTCCTATAACCGCGTGATGTATCGATGATGGGATACTCTTCTTGCCGAGAGAACGTATATACATCGAAATTTACAATTGACGGAGCAAATCGTCGTTAATTGAAAACATGTAGGCAGAAATAGAGGAAGAGAAGATTAGAAACGCGAACGCAATAAGCGTATAAGTGTCTTAATTATGACTCTTAAGATAACGATCGCAGGAATGCCAGGTGTTTCACGTTCGCGGTGTACCGAGGATCATCTTCGCCGGCGCAATTAAGTCGAACGAAGTAACGTCACGGGGCTACTCGTCACAATACACAATACGCGTGTAATCCCAATTGAAATTGCTATTTCTCTAGTTGCCGAATCGCCAGAAATAAGTTTCAAGATTTATTAGTAGAGAAAAAAAAAGAGAAAGAGAGAATGGCCAAGGAGAAGTCCTCGGCGAGTCCAGAAACAATTAGAGTCTCGAGATTGTTGGGCTATCGCGAGGCAAACGTATATCATCCGCGCGAAGAGAAATCCGTCCGTCCGTGAGCCAGCTGCTGTACGGCGAGCAATTCCGTTACAACTTACAACAGCGCGAAGCGCGAAGAAGTAAGTACGCGTGGAATCGACCCGAGAGAGAGAGAGAGAGAGAGAGAGGGAGAGAGAGAGAGAGATGATCGATCGAACGTCGCCGAGAGTGGCCTCGCGTTTAAAACTTCTTATCATCAACTGCAGCCGCGTAGTTGGACTACACGGCGTAAAAAACTGAAAGATCGCGTAAATCTTTCTGCTCCACTATATACGTCGAAATAAATCGGCTTCTTTTCTTCGTGCAATGTCGCTATCTATCGCGTTCGACGCCGATGTGCGGATTGGTAATATTCTCCCGCTCGTTTCCAGTGGCGCGCTTCATTAATAAATGAACGTGGATAATTCAACCTACGCGGACCGTAATTTTCCAGTAGAAAATAATTGCTCGAGTTGATCGTGATCTACGACGATCCATTAGATCGCGCGAACCGAGAGATATTCCGGCATTCCTCGCAAATCTAATAGAAGCGATGGCACGTGATCTGTCTTAATTATTTAAGTACGAGAGAGAGAAAAAAAAGAAGAATTTGTCTGATTTTTCGCTTCTGACGTCAGGAGCTGCGGTGGATGATTTAGGAGGTTGAGTTCTGCGCGAAAAAAGAAAAGATCTCGGCGGCGTTTCGCCGCCGTCTTTTAACGCTGACGCTAAACTCCACCGAGTTGTTATCTCGATATACCGTGGCGATACCACGAACGCTACCTCATCAGTTGCATAATCCGACGCGACGCCTCGCTCGTGTACGTGTATGGCGCAACGCGCGCGGTGCACGCGTACGTGCGCGCTCACGCGCTTATACATATAGTTTCCACGCGGAATAGCGCGTAAAATATTAAAATTCTTTCATTTTAATGCGCCGTAACGCGTCGTGACGCGTCAGGAAGAAATGAGCGCGCGTTTAACCACCGGAAGCGCGTTTAATCAGTGAAAACGCGCCGAGACATGGAAATCGAGAGAGTGGAACTCGCTTCGAACAATCTGTAATGAAATCTCCAAAATTGTGCCGAAATTCAGGATAGAACTCTGCTTTATGAGCTTGTCGTGGCGTACAAAAACATTTTAAGAGACAGAATGCATACATAAAAATATATAAAAGACACATAAAAAGATACACGTCCATATATTTATGTAATATTATAACTAAAATATATTTATGTAATAACGAAAATTCTGTTCTCTGAAATGTGACGTCTGAAACTAGACCACCTAAAGTGAGTTTACGAGAAAAGAGGAAAAAGAACGAAATATAAATCCTCTCTTTATTTTTCCTATCTTGGCTCGACAGTAACGCGTATTTCCCGTTCTTTATTTACTTAGACTCGACGACTCGAGCAGCCGCAATTTACAAATTTCAAGCCTCTTTATCGTTTACGTGAGTTGCGTTATAGAGAAGTGATGACTAATTTGTTTCGATATCTGGAACGAGAGAGAGGGAGAGAGAGAGGGGGGGGGGAATTTTTCGCTTCTGGTCCGATATTCTTCGACGTGAATTCTATAAAAAGGTGAAAATGGAACCGTAAGAAGTGCATTTTTCGACGACATTCATCAATATCTTTAATAAATCTATCCCACCCCTCTTTCTTTCGGAATAAAACAGATCGACGAAATAAAATGACTACTCGGTCGAATGTAACGAGACCTCGTTTTTGTTCTCCGCGTTGCCTCTCTCCTTCTATCTAGTGACGCGTGCACGGGTACACGCATTCGTACACGCGTGTATAGTTATCGCGCGAATGTGACGATGCAAACGTATTATGTATAAACGAAGCGAGATAAAGGGGGTATTTATCTCGCTGGGCTGACTCGCGATCGACAAAACTTTTTCCCTATCGCGGTTACATGGGGCTTGTACGAATATCCGCGAGTGTAATTTTCGTTCGTATCGTGCCACAACACGACGGTTCATATTTCCCCGAGATAAGTCTGAGGCATCTTGCTCCCTTGATTTCGGTTACGATTCCCCGATAATTTCATATGCTCCGAAAATAGAGACGTGCAGAGCGACGTTAGAAACTTTGTCTCCCTCTCTTTCCTTCTGCTCCTCCTCCCCCCTCTCTCTCTTTCTCTCTTTGTCTCTTTCTCTCTCTTGTTGTCTCTCTCTCTCTCTCTCTCGTCCCCTTCTCTTCTTGTTTGGAGCGTCACATCACGCCGCACCGCACCGCGACTCAACTGAACTGAACTCAAGTCGATTCTACTCAACCCGACTCTTAACAGTCGCAACTAAACTCGCGCGCGGAGTACCACGCGCGCGTCCTCGAAAGACGAATCCTCGCGCGTATACGTCTCGCAACACGGGGAACGAGATTTACGCCGTTTGCGACACACGAAGGGAAGGAGAAATCTCGCCTTCCGGAGGCGCGCGACTTCCCTGGCAGAAATATGCGTTTGCGCGCTGTGCGACTTCTCGGCGCGAATTCGGCAGACAGTCGTCAGTTCTTGGCGAGAGCGTGATTCTGTGTGACGCGAGATAACAGGGTGGTACGTGCCCCGACGGTCTCGAAATCTCGCGGGTTCCGAACTCCGATCGCGCCTAATCAACGCGACGCGACGCGACGCGCGACCGTGAGATTGCGTGGTTGCGAAATTCACGGCGGTACCTGTCGCCGATTGCGTCGAGAGTCTTCTCCGATTCACGCGGTGCGATTACGTAGAAGATAAGAGACAGCCTCGTGGACTGTGATCTCTCGCGGAGTTGCATCCTGGTTTTTCCGCGTCGCAGACGAGTCGCGTGATTCGTGCGACAAAGCGGCGAGGAAACCGAGACGAGGCGAGGCGGCGGCGACGCGACGCGACGCGATCGACTTTCGGAGGAGCCGAGCGGGCGAAAAACTTGCCGGAATTTTTGAATTAGCTGACGAGGCTCGTATTCCACGGCACACAAGCTCTCGACTCCGCCGTCTCTCGCGCTCGCGCTTCGGCCACGTGGGTGTTATTCGGGCCTAGAATTTGCGCCTCCCTTCTCCGGGAGGAGGTCGTACGTGGGAGACGTATTATTGTGCCAACGAGTTCATTCATCGTGCGGATTCCAGCCCGCCGGAAGTGACGAGGAACGACGACTTCCCCGCTGGTGGTGGCGGCGGTTGGTGATGGTGCGGTAGTGGTGGTGGTGGTGGTAGTGGTGCGCGTACCAGTTGAGCGTTGCATCGTGCATACGTGCACGCACTCAACGCACTCGCGCGCGCGAACGCACGCACGCACGCACTCGCGCACTCACGTACACACGCGCGCACGCGCGCGTGCTGACCTAGAGGAAGCGAAAGGAGAGAAGGAAGGACTGAAGGAGAGGATGTCGACTCGCCGCCGGGCGACCGCGACCGCGTCGCGCGGCGAGATGCAGCGTCCTGTTGTCGGTCGACGGCCAGTCGCTCTTTGAAGGTTTCGCCTTATCGACGATGGACTGGAGTGGTCGGACAGACCGCGCGAGGCAACGAGAGGTCGTGCACTGTGTATCGTTATTGTTTCCTCGTTGGGGCGATTCCGCGCCGCGGTCGCTGACGCGACTATGCAGCTGAAGAAAGCGATGCTTAAGATATTCGATCAATGTGAGTTTTCGGTCGCGCGAGAAAACGCGCGCCGCTCTCCGCCGTTCCTAATAATAATAATTTTCCCCCTTTGCTCCCGGTCTCTCTCATTCTCTCTCTCTCCCTCTCGCGCGCGCGCAAAATAGCGATGAAAGAGTCGCGCGCGCGCCGCTCTAAAACATCTCGAAGCTACAGCGTACGCGCGTGATGAACGGGCGACGGTTTAGGCCGACGGTTGAACGCGCGCGTTTCTCACATCCATCTGTATGCGTAACACGGACGGGACGATGCGTGTGCATTACGCGGCAGCGTGATTCCCTCGTGCGCAGCATGGGCCCCCATTAGAGGCCCCCGGATCGTAATAGCGTAATAACGACAGGGCGCACAGGTCGGATTGGACTGCGAGACATCACGGAAAACCTGACGACTCCGCCGCGTAGCAGGCGGACACACGGAGAGCTTCGTGCTAGCGCTATTATCCGGAGAAATCGCGAATGCGCCGAACGGTTTGCAGGAGAAGTCGTTGATCCGCTGTCCCTGAAAAATATGTAACGCGATGTACTAATGGGATTTGTTAAGTTCCTAGCTAATCTAACAGCTTAATGCTTATTTTTGTCAATGCAGATTAACTTTCATTCCGGTTTAACTCACTTTTCATCTTCTAATTTCAACTATTAGAAAAGGATGAAAAGTAAGTTGAACCAAGTTGAAAGTTAATCTGCATTGGTATAGAAATGGATACAAGTCGTAATGAAAGTTTTAAATTAATTTTTGCTTTTGGGTAAAATTAATTGTCTTAATAAAATTATCAAAATCGATGTAAAACTTCTTTTTTACTACGCAGAGCGACAGTAAAAATACGGCTATGTGGTACTTGAGGTTTATCGTGCCCCCCCCTTTTTTCCCGTTAGTAACGTCGAGTTAACGTACGCGTCTTTGGTCTTTGGTATGGTATGGTTTAAATTCCAGTAACAAAGATTGAATTTCGGCTGGAGGAAAGACACGTATACGTCGTTTAATACGATACCTCCCACATATTTACGCGCGCACTGATACGCGACTCGCCCCGCCCGCGCCATGGGGCCCGGCCGCAGCGGGCGCGGGCGCTAGCGCAGCTGTTTTCGTTTCCCGTTATCGCTCGTTCGACGATCCGGCGATATCTTTCCGAACGTAAACGTAGACGCGCTTTTCGACGAGCTACGTGTGCACATATATACACGTGTGGCCCGAAAAGCGATACGTCGGCGTCGATCGTCATCGCGCCTAAAATAAGAAGTTGGCGACCGAGGAAAAGCGCGAGAGACGCGGGCACGGGCGCGGAAAAGTTCGACGCGCGTTTTAAATAAAAATACACGGAGTATATGCGTACCGCGAAAAGAGAAAATTATAACGCCGCGCCGCGCGTCTCGCTGTCGATTTACAACGATGCTAATGTCACGATAAGATTCTCAGTTAACGATAAGACTTATCGCGGGCCGAGAGCTATACAATCTTTGAATTTAAAACGAAATTTCCATCGCGCACTTAAGCTCGTCCTCGGGGTATCGCGCGTTTCATTTATCGATGAAACTGTTTATTTACGTATTTGGCAGATAATTATACTGACAACACCCGCGCGTTATCAAAAAAACAAAATAACAACAATGGTCAACCCGTGTCATCGATGGCCAAATCTTATCGCGTTATTGCGTCACGCGCGCGTATACTCTCGCTCGAAAAGGAAAAGAACGAGAGATCGCTGAATTTTATGAGTTTCGTGGATGGGAGTCGGACTATGTTGAACGTAGGAATAAATACATAGATGAGTAGAAATGGCCTTTTACAACGAACATATCGACTTTTCGCAAAAAAAACCTATTAAACTATTAATTGAAATTCTGAAAGTGAAGTGGTAACTTTACAAAGACAAAGTCAGGGTTGTGAACATAATCGTTAAAAATTTTATCGATTTTCTCAATTCTGAAGCACGCTTCATCTAATCTCGTAAATTTCTCGTAAATCGCGAGATGGTAATCTTTACCGGATAAAATAGCGTAAAAATGGACAAAACAATCTTCCAAGTGCATCTATTTTCTTTCTTTCACCGAAACGGAATCAGGTGCCGCACACGGCAACTGACCTCTGATCGTGAGAGATCCAAGCGCGTTCTTTTGCGGCACGTTATACCGACTGCAGTAGCCGAGGCGAATACACGACGACGCGTATTTGCATTGGCCAAGGTAACTGCCGCTATTTCGTTGCGTAACTTAACAGATTACGAGAAACGACAGGTTCCTCGCGATGACGCGCGACTTTCGTCCTCGATCCATGAACGGCGTTCGCTCCTCGTCCCCCGATGTTCTTCGCTCCGATCTAGACAAATCTCGCCCGCGGATATATAGCTATGGAGTAGTACTATCATCTATCTCGAGTATCTCTCGATCTCAATTTCCTTTTTTGCGAAATAACTTTGCGTAATCGAGATAACTTTTCCCTATACATACGTGATAGAGATTTATAATGATGGAAGAGCCGGGAGAAAGCAGAAGGAAGGTGTGATGCTGGGGCACTAAAGTCGAGAGTACGCGCGTCCGCTGACTTCGTGCGCGCTTTACGACCTGAGCTGCACGACGACGACGACGACGACGACGCAACTTATTTAGCGCGCGTGTGCGTGCGTGCGTGCACGCACACGCGTGACGATTGAGTTTAATATAGCCGCGTGTCGCTCCGCCTCGCGTCGGCTAAACGTTTACCTCGACGCATGCCGAAAGTGGAGCCCCGACGAGACGAGAGAGCTCTCTTCCTCCTCTCCTTTGGAAGAAAAGTCAGCCGTGAAAAATGGTTGCACGGCTTCCGTCCAAGTCCCCGGCACTCCCGCCTCTCCCCCAGTCTCTCCCCGGGTATGCCGCCCCGAAATCTCGGATGCGTAAAATGTCGGCACGTTAAGCCGATATCCGTTACTTTTGCCGCGCATTTGTTTACGTTACTCTCCTTTGGTTCAACTGGGTTCCTGTTATCCGACGGCTCCGATTATTTGCACGATCTCGGTGAAGTTAAACATCCCCCGCTTTTCGATTCCCCCGTCGATCTCGAGCACTTTCTCAAACACATCCGAGGATTCCACGGCAGAGATAAACGGCGCACCTCCCGTTGATTACGTTGAAATCCTGAAAATAGAACCGACCAGCTTGGCGGAGACGAAGATACTTTTCGATATCGGTCTCGGAAAGAAAACTCAAGTGTCTGTCCGTGATTTGAATAACGGAAATAACAACGCGGTTTAAATATCTGGAATAACGACCGACGATTTCGATAAAATTTCCATCGCGCATTTCCATTGTTCTTGTAAGGTCAGTGTTTTCGTATATCGTTGAATCTTATTACGCTTAAAACGTCCGGTTTTGCCGATAATCGTGAAACGAAAGCGCCTCGTTCTGCACGTTATTTGCTCGTATACATTTTCAGTAATCGAGGAACGTTGATAGCTCTCACAATCAGTAGCCGCCAACGTAGGTAGGTAGGCCACTAATCTAACGACTATTAATTAACGATAAGGCTGGAGATAAACACACGGTGGAACAGAAACACACCGGCAAACAACACAAAACAGGCGAGACACCGCGAATCGATTTATTTTTCTCGTATGAACTTGGAGAAAAAAAAAGAACGGTAGCATTGAACTTGACGGTAGCGCTGGCCAAGTCCGCGGACTTTCCGGGGCGAAGGGGCAAGGGGGGAGGAGAGTCTGGTGCTGTCAGAAAACGAAGAACCGGCGACCGGTCCGAGAGCAGGTTTCAGTGGCCTCTCTCGTTGCGTACATTCGAACGCGAACGCGAATGCGAACGCTGGGGTACTGGGGGGAGCCCGAGGAGACCCCGGCGGAACGTTGCATTGGGAGGGATCGACGCCCCGCCGAAAGACGATAAATCCTTTTTTCGCCTTTAACCGTCCTTCCACCTTTCTTTCGGGTCCTTCGACCTTGCCTCGATCGCGATTACACGGGCCCGGGCACGCGGTTTCGAGCCGCTTCCGCTTTCTGGGAAACTGGTTCGTCCGCGCTGTCGTTTACGTCATCGAGAATCAGTATCTCCGAATATGATTCCACTAAATCTCTCTCTCCCTCTATTAAACAAACACCCACACACACCCACACACACACACACACACACACACACACACACATATTCGCTCACTCATAGTAACTCAATCGCTCACAACTCGCTCTCCGAACGAGAGAAATTAAAGCGATCAATTGGTATACGAACAGCAAGGGATCTTCTGGCGTCTGTAATAGTTTTCGGCCTTTCGATCTTACTGCGTGGAATTCTCGAGATTCGTAGTTCCTGGAAGCAGTGACCTGGCAGCAGTCATCCGCTTTCCAGAAAATAATACATAGGGGGATGTTCGCGGTTACCGCTAGGTCGCCTCTTGCCGCCGCAGGATGTAACAGTGAGATCCCAACGCGGCGAGGTACCATTTCCGGAGCTCGGAAACTGGTTCAAAGTGATATCAGGCGGAAATTTCTCAAAGAATTGAGTCCGCAAAGCCGATCTAATCTCGGGGTTAATCGACTAGTTTACCTCAGAGGTTCGTACCACTTTTAAATATTCGTACTTCTGATGTGTTTCCTCCTTTCGCATAAAAAAAAAATCTGAAAATCTGTTTGATTAATCACGCGTAATGGAGCTACGTTTGCAACGTGTCTCCCGGGAGAGTTCATAGATACGTGACGGAGAGAACGATCGGTCGGTCGCCCGCGACTGGCCGAGCAAAAGCTCGAGACACTCGAGACAGGCGAGATCGGTGGCGAGCAGATAGGTCAGCTTGGCGCCATCGGGCCGAGGCGAGGCGCGTGAAGGCCGGTCGGTCGGTCGGTTTCTCGGCTTTCCGACGCGCGCTATCATTGCCGTTCGCCACACCACAACCGTGCGAAACTGGCCAGCGTGTTTGCGCCGCGCCGCGACACACATCGTCCGCCTTTTGTGTAACTATTCGCCTCTCGCGCGCATACGGCCCGTCACGCGAGGAGCCGTCGTCGTCGGCCGTCGCCCGTCGTCCGCGTATCCGCGAGGAATGAAAGGAAAGATGATTATTTCGAGAGAGACGCAGAAACGTGGATACTACGAGCGCCGTTCGGCGTTCACCTGAACCGTCCGAGGCTTCGTTCGCGAGCCGAGTATGGCCTGGCAACGACCCGAGACCTTGTGCAACCGAGTGAAAAGATCGAAAATGGTATGCTCTGCTCTCGCGATGATCCTCGCGATCGTCCGACGCGTACTTACTCCGGCGGAAAATAAAATGTGATCGATCACGGGAGGAGAAAGCTTCGCGTAAAGTGTGTGTGTATGTGTGTGTGTGTGTTCACGCCGAGATAGCCGTACCGACGAATTCCAGCAATTTGGAGATCGTTACTTGAAAATCGCTCCGTCGAAATATCTTATTGTAGAAAGTGGTAGCACCGAAGTGCGCGCGCGCTCGCAAATTGTAATCGGACGGTGGACTTTTAAATCCTAAAAAAAATCTTAAATCGGCAGTAGCGAAAACATTCCAGGAATACCGCGGGAGCGACGGGGCGTCGTTATCGGAATGAATTTGCCGTATAGATAATTTAATCGTATTTTACGATGCGCGCCGATTATCAGCCGACTGTAGCTTAGCGTGAGCTTCATTTCCAGTTGTTTGGCTGCCACTATCTTCGTAGTAATGATTATCGTGTTCCCGCGCGCTGTCGTCACCAACGAGCGGCGAAAGCAATGACGTTCGCCGGGGGACTCGTTAAACCTAAAATATATTTATTACGAATGTGCGCTGACCGTCCGCATAATCGATCGTACGACAAAAGAACGTTCATCGCGCATGGAAATACGGAAATTGGGCGAAATCTCATGATAATACGTTTCGTTTTCCCTTCAATTGCGCACTGTGTGAACACTATAATTCTATTTTCTTACGCGCATGCACATACGCGCGACGTACGAGTGGTACGAGGTGCTCTTCGGCGCATTTCCTTCAAATTGTGAACTCTTGGAAACAGTAAGCCTCCAAGGAAAACCAATGGATAACAAGATTACATATATCCTTCAATTAACGTGGAGTAAACTTTAACGGAACTTTAATACGAGGCTTTAGTTACAAAGGCGCACAATTGGAAGTTGCGATAAATGACGAAGTTCCTCGATATCTTCTTTACAGGAAAGTTGACTCGAAATTGACCAATTCGCGGATTGCAGTACGCTTCGCCACTCTACAATCTATACGGTGGATGAAAAAAGTGTTTGCACAACCAGATAACTTTATTCGAAGAATACATGCATAATTACAAATTGTGTCCATAAGTAATTTATTACATACAATATATGTATTCGTAATTATGTATTATTGCTTTGAATAAAATTATTGTAAGAAAACTGGGTGCGTGTGACTAGATACTTTTTTTATCCACTGTATAACAAATTAAAGATGCACGCCGCGCTCGCGTCGGTTCGTCCACGCGCGCAACTTAAACGGACCATCGTTATTCAGTGCGTGTTTAAGAATCGAATTTGTCAGAGTAACATCAAAGAACAGAGAGGGAGGGAGGGAGGGAGAAGGAAAGACAGAAGTATAAAGGAACGCAGGAACATTGGCCCACCCACGTATACCATATTGTTTCTCTACGTATCGTAAAGCATCGTCGATCGAGCACTGCTTGGATTTCCGGTTCACTCTAAAGGCTAAATATAATGACGTTACAGCGACATTGCGTAATGCACTTGCAGCCTGTGCGACGAAATGTTTCCCGCGACTCTCGTCTCCGCTCCGCGCGAAAAGTAACGTTAGCTTTTGGGAAAAATGGAAAATATATAAGGGAAGAGACGATAACGATTCCACAACGTGAGATGCAAGCGTGTAACAAAGTTTCGATTTATCGTCTCATTTAGTCACTTCGTCCAGTTACGTCACCAGTTGCGGAACACCCCGTACCACCGCGCGTCGTCGAAAAAGCCAATATTCCGCGTGATTGCTCCGCTGTAGCGACATCCGTACGTATATTGTACATCAGCCCGTACAGTTCATAATCGACGGTTCGTATGAGCAGGACCGAAGCGACGCGACGCGCGGTAACTCATCCGTGAAGAGAACGCGCGCTCGTCTCGTATAGGAAATTTACCCGGTAATCCGTGTCGGGTTTTTCCACGGATTTCGTTTGCCTCTCGATCGTATACGTCCGTTCCTGCAACGAGCTCGCGATTTTCTCGCAGCGGACTCCGCGCCGTATCGAGGTAAGGCGATCGAAAAATTAAGTATTTCGCAAAACACTCCGTGTTTTGTGTCGGGACGTCGGGACGACGAGAAAGTTAATTTTTTTTCGGTCACCTTAACGTTTCTTGATACCGCGCGGAATGACAAAGCGATCTACCTGAAAAGTGTCGTGCATTTCCGTCGAAAAACGACATCGACGATCTTAAAATCCCAAAAACTGTAATCTCGAAAGAGATCCTTATCAACGATAAGATTTCGTCTTTTCAGAACAAATAATTTCTTCGCGGCATACATTTTCATCGAAAACAACGGAGATGTTTGGGATAGTCGCTAGATAACAGGGACAGTAAATCAAATTACTTAATCGACGATCGGCTGGAAAATCCCGGGGACAATTTTCCCCTCGGTTAGAACGGGCCGATATACGACGATAAAATCCGCGTGAGAGAGTTGGGGTGCGGCGCATGGTGAATAAAAAGAAAAATACAACTTTTACAGACTGGATTCGGAGTTAGTCACGAACAATTGCGAACGAATGTTTCACGATGCCGTAGGAGTTTTATACTTTCTTGAAATGGAATTTGAAAAATAAGAGAACTGGCGACAACAGCTCTTTTATTTCAATCCGGTTAAACTTGAGTCATAATACTTTTTTCGACAGGAATCTCGAAATGCTATCTGGAGTTTCCAGAAAAGAGTTAGATTCCTGAGAAAAGATTGTATCTATGGGAACCTAGGAAATGTGTTCGTCCCATATCTCTTTCGCTCCTTATCTTCGTGTTTAATCGTAGAATTCTTCAGAGGCGTAGAATTCTTTGAAGCGTACAGAGTACATCCGTCAGTTATACGTTATACCAAATTTTTGTAAGCGAGGCGTTAGTTTTGTAGACAGATTGTGTTTTGAAATGAAACGAGACATCATAATTACGCATCAGTAATTGTTTTTCGCACTTAATTAATACGAATACACTTCGTAATATGATTTCGCAGTCTTTGCGGCAAGCAAAGTTTGCTTGTCAAAAAATCGACCGATAAAACTTCAACTTATTAGTTAAATATAATAATAACAACACGATCGCGAAGATATTCGAACAATTTAGAAAATAACGTTATGAAAAGTTGAATTCTGCCCGTGACAGTTGTTTTTTTCCCACACGATCTCTCTCGCAAGAAGCGTGATTATTCGCTGCGTTAGCGAGGCGAGTTGAATACTCCGTGTAATTAACGGACGGAAAACAATAAAAATTGCAGGCCTGCAGTTTCGGAGCATCGAGGAGCCGAGGATGACGGCGGAGACGGCGGCCCCCTGCGTGCAAGGGGTACAGGGAGCCCAGAGCGGTGTGGCGAGCCAGAATATGCTGCAACAGGTGCAGGATGGAAACGGTAGCAGCGGTGGCAGCGGCGCTTATTATTCCTCGACCTCGACGGCGTACGATCCGGAATACGCCCGTATGGAGGCCTGGCTCGACGAGCATCCCGACTTCGTCAACGATTACTTTCTCAGGTAATTGCTCCCTCCGGATTGACGGCGGATGAAATGGATAGACTCGCGCTAGGTTCATTGTTCCGCGAATATATCGACGATCTTGTACTATCGTTCTTGAAAAATGGTTAAAAATAGCCACAACTAAATTGCCTCTGTCGCGTTCTATATCTTTTTCCCTTTTTTTTCACGTGTTTTTTTTTCCTCTGTTTGCATGAGTTATCTATTTTTCATCGCGATTCTTCCCAAGCTATTTTGACGTAGATGTTAGAAAGTATCGTAATAAAAAATAGATAGAACACACACACATTTATATATATATTATTAGTTTTGGGTTTTTCGGTAGGAAAGTGACACGGCAGACTGTGGACATGTGGCTGGTGTCACACGCGACGCCGACCTCGTCGTCCAGCAGTTGCGTGGAGCTCTCGAGTCCGACCCACGTCGGGACTGGTAATTCGTCCTCCGGACGAGGCGGTGCCGGTGGCTCGGGTGCCACGACACCGGTACGCAAAATTTCGGCGCACGAGTTCGAGCGCGGAGGCCTTCTGAAGCCGATCGTCAACACGATCGACGGCACGCCGACCTTCTTAAGCGTGTCGACGGGCGACGCGGGTCAGCCGGGCGGGCCGCAAGTTGGATCCGGTAATTCGAATCGGCCGCAAAGGCGATCGAGACACGAGCTCAGGCACCTCGACGAAAAGGATCTCATTTTCGAGCTGGTAGGTTCTTCGATATGATAATATCGCTATAGTCTCTCTCTATCCTTGAACAGTTTAACTTCTGTAAGGTTTCTACAGGTCAAGGACATTTGCAACGAGCTGGAGGTGAGATCGTTGTGCCATAAGATCTTGCAGAATGTGAGCACGCTCCTTCACGCGGATCGCGGTTCGTTGTTCCTCGTCCAAGGAGAGAGAAGCGGCGCCGCCGCCGCTTCTGCTGCTGCCGCCGCTGCTGTTACCAACGCACCATCCTCTCCGAATCATGAGGCCGTTGCGAGCAACTCCAACAACGAACACAATCCGCATCGCGATCAATCTTCTACGAGGAGCAGGTGTCTGGTGTCGAAGCTATTCGATGTCTGTTCGAGATCGACGTTGATTGAGATGGAAAAGAAAGACGAAATTAAGATTCCCTGGGGTACCGGAATCGTCGGATACGTCGCTGAAAGTGGGGAGCCTGTCAATATACCGGACGCTTACAAGGCAAGACCTGGAAATACCGTTTTACCGAACAAATCAGCACTTTTCCTTCTTTCGTTATCTAATGAGAACGCGCTGCGTTTCGCATCTGTTTCATCGATTATTAATCATTGGGAATTCTCGATGAATCATGATTTGTTTATATTTGAAATGCGATTGCTTTCGATGTAAACAGATGTGCACGCGTATACATTATCTTACACGAGTAGAGATCTTATCTCTATCTCGATAATCACTAATTTCGTGAGGATAATTCAATACATTATTTCGCTTCGTTGCGTACCGAGAAACTCGGACGGAGATGCTTGAATTAACAACATGTATCCAATGTCTATGAAGTTAAAAATGATTTAAACGTTTCAGGATTCGAGGTTTAATCGCGAAATTGATGCTTTAACGGGATACCGTACGCGTGCCTTACTGTGCATGCCTATTAAGGATTGCAACGGTGACGTAATCGGGGTGGCACAGGTGATCAACAAACTCGGCAACGAGAGCCAATTCACCACGCAGGACGAGAAGGTTTTCGCCGGTTATTTACAGTTCTGCGGTATCGGTTTAAGAAACGCTCAGCTTTACGAAAAAAGTCAATTAGAGGTGAAGAGAAATCAGGTGAGCGCCAATTTCGTCGAATCGCTCGAAATGATGAGATGAAGGATCTAATTCGTCTTGGTATTAACAATTAGGTTTTACTGGATTTGGCTAGAATGATTTTCGAGGAACAAAGTACGATAGAGCACATGGTTTTTAGAATTCTTACGCACACGCAATCGTTGATTCAATGCCAACGTGTTCAGGTAATAAACGTAAACGTTCGCCGTGAGGAGAACGCAATTACGTGAGCGAAGGAGTACGTTGCAATGTCGTGATTGCTTTCAGGTGTTGCTCGTACACAAAGCTTCAAAGGGAAGTTTCTCGCGCGTTTTCGATTTCGAAGCGAACGATCTCGCTGGCGAGGATTCAAATTCTCGCACTAGGTGAATCAAGTTTGTAATTGGTTTAGTTTTTTGTTCGATAAGTTTATTTCTCCAGAGATTTAACAAATCCTTCTCTTTCTTGCAGTCCTTTCGAGAGTAGGTTTCCTATTAATGTTGGCATCACGGGTTACGTAGCGACAACCGGTGAGGTAAGTATCGCTCGATTAATAATTTCTTTCTAAACATTAGTACCCGAGACGATATAAGAGATTTTTCAGACTGTCAATATACCGAACGCTTACGAAGATCCGAAATTCGATCCGTTGGTGGACGACGGTACCGGCTTTAGGCATCGTACGATTCTTTGTATGGCCATCAAGAATTCGTCCGCTCAGATAATCGGCGTCATTCAGCTGATCAATAAATTCGACGATCTGCCTTTCACGAAGAACGATGAAAATTTTGTCGAGGCGTTCGCGATCTTCTGCGGGATGGGAATTCATAATACGCACATGTGAGTGTACTTGTGTATCTTGGGTCTATCTCGAACATTCGACTTGACTTATCGGGTCTTCAGGTATGAGAAGGCTGTGATAGCGATGGCAAAACAAAGCGTCACTTTAGAAGTACTGAGTTACCATGCATCGGCGTCGTTGGAGGACGCGCAGAGATTGAGGGTTGGTATGCTTTCAGTTTCGCGATATCTCAGCTATAATTTTCAAACCGTTGAACGTTAGTTCAATCGTATATTCTCTATCTCGGCAGAGTTTAAGGGTTCCGTCATCGGCGCATTTTAAACTGCACGATTTCAAGTTTGACGATATACACATGGAAGACGACGAAACTCTTACTGCGTGTCTCAGGATGTTTCTCGACTTGGATTTTGTCGAACGATTTCACATCGACTATGACGTACTTTGTCGTTGGTTGTTGAGCGTAAAAAAGAACTATCGGAACGTTACGTATCACAATTGGCGACACGCCTTTAACGTGGCCCAAATGATGTTTGCTATATTGACGGTGAGTTTTTTTATATCGATTATAATTTGTGAAACAGGAATTGTAATTGTTACATTGTTACTAGGCTACACAATGGTGGAAGATCTTTGGTGAAATTGAATGTCTCGCGCTTATCATCGCCTGTTTGTGTCACGATCTCGATCATCGTGGAACGAACAATTCTTTTCAAATTAAGTAAGCACTTTTTTTTACTTTCGCATTAATTTACGTCCCTTAACTGATTACGGCGAGTTCTGTATACGAGATATGATCCTTTCGTTTTTAGAGCCTCGTCGCCACTGGCACAGCTGTACTCGACCTCGACGATGGAGCATCATCACTTCGATCAGTGCCTGATGATTTTGAGCAGCCAGGGAAATCAAATTCTGTCAAATCTCTCGCCAGAAGAATATTCGCGCGTGGTAAAGGTTCTTGAAGAAGCGATACTCTCTACCGATCTGGCCGTTTACTTTAGAAAGCGCGGGGCTTTTCTTAATCTAGCACGCAGTGGTGGCTACAACTGGGCGTTCGGTGATCATCGAGAGCTTCTACGCGGGATGCTGATGACAGTCTGTGATCTGGCTGCCATCACGAAACCGTGGGAGGTCGAAAAGAGAGTAGCCGAACTCGTTAGTAGCGAGTTTTTCGAACAGGGCGACATAGAGAGGCGGACGCTTAACATTACACCTATCGTGAGTAGCGTAAAGTAAACATAATTTATACACAAAAAAATATTCTTACATAAATGTTTCTGTATTGCAGGACATTATGAATCGAGAAAAAGAGGACCAGCTACCGATGATGCAAGTCGGCTTTATCGACTCGATCTGTCTACCTATCTATGAGGTAGGTACAGCGGGACAAGAAATAATGACTTTTTTTTTTTAATGAAAATTCTAACTCATCTTTCCGCATCTATGCTTACCTCGACAGGCGTTCGCCCATCTGTCGGACAAACTTGTCCCGCTCGTCGACGGGGTCAGTATGAACAAGCAACATTGGTTGGAGATTGCCGAGAGCGACCATCAGGCGGAGACCTGCACGAATCACGATAGGACGCCGTCAACATCGGCGTCCGACAACGATGAGACCAGCGAACAAGCGGACCAATAGTCATTACGATGACGTTACTGGCTAATTAAAGTCGAATGTACCAAACGCAAGCGTATCATTCGCCAGTCGTCAGAAAGAGAAATACGGGATATGGTTTATTATCCTCGCGGGCCGTTTCCCGTGACGTCCATTTTCCTCGTCTCAATTATATCACGGCCTGTGTCCTGCGCGAATACGAATAGATGATCCGTCCGTTTAACGGACTCTGCGTTAATTCCTTTCCGTCAATTTCTACAGATCTGTTGATCAAATAGATTGAATATACAACTCTCTCGCGTTGAAACGTGTGTCTTAATCAAAATTATTCTGTAAATTTGATATATAACAAATTGAAGAAGCTAAATGTGACGAAATGAACGATCTTGTGAAATATGATGAGAAAGATCTTTGTTCTCTCTCTCTCTCTCTCTCTCTCTCTCTCTCTCTCTCTCTCTCTCTTTCTCTCTCTCTCTCTCTCTCTCTCTGTGTCTCTTTCTCTCTATCTTGTATCCTGTTCCTTGATCTTCCCTCCTCTCACCCATTTGTCCATCCTCGAGACTAAACCGATTACAATCTCCATATGCTACTACTGTACCTGATTGTATTGTATATATATTTACTGTGACACAGACCCATTCGATGTAGAGAGAGAGAATAAAGACGGGGGTATGATTCTCGAAAATGATACAATAGTTTTCGACGCGAGCCAGCTCGTCGAAGGACACAACCGGAACGGCGCCTATACGCGCGATTAGATTACGTATTTGTATACCAAAGTGTAAATTTATATATCGAGATCGGTCGCGACTATCAGTCAGCTGGCAAAATAACGACGCGAGTGGTCTGTTACGCGCGTGCTAATTAATTAGCGGTTAACCGCAGCAGACATGGGTTTCTTAGTTGCTTTGCTTTCTGTTACAGAAATGATTTTAGATTCCTCGAATCGATCTCGAACCCTCCTCCCCACAGCCGTTTTCGTCTTCGCGTAGAGCTGTTGTATCGCTAGAGAAGCAAATAATACGAAAGATCTATAAGCGACAAATTTGTGTAGCGTCGTCTTGGTTGGACTCTGAAGCTCACATTAAAACGGACTGTACATATATACATGTACGGACGGGGTAATAGGAGATTTAAAATTCTTTTCGCGTGTTCCTATCGCTGATCCTTGCTATAATACTTAACGTTATAGAACGTACGGTAAACTTACTATCGCACGACACGTGTCTGTGACTCGGAGAGACATGCATATCATTAGATAGTCGCGACGGAACGGGATAGCCCTCATATCCGGCGTCATATCATACGGTGGAAAGCGGAATTGGCACACGCGGGACGGACGATAAAAAAGGATCTAATTCCCGTGTCCGAGAGATTCGCCTGGCACGCATACCACGGCTCTGAGGAGACGAAGACAGTCTAGGCATTTAGTGATCGCAACGTGTGATCGTTACTTATAGCGTGTGACTTCCTATATGTTCCTTCAAATCTGCAATCTTTAAAGTGACTTTCCTTCTTTTTCTTTAATTTTTTTACTCTAATGATATCCGAATCCAAGCTTGATACTTGGTCCTGCGTCGTCCCCTCCCCAATGACGACGACGATGACGATAAGACGCGGGGTAAAGTGAAGAAAAAAAAAAAATAATAAAAATAAAAAATGTAACAAGTGTGATAAAGTTTTCCTTGTGTGCGTGTAATTGCAGCGCGGATGTATGCTCGAGAGTAGGAGAGAGCGAGAAACGGCTAATATATATTGTACAGTAATTTTTTGTGTAAATTATATTGCGAAATGGCGCGTACGTCGAATTGTTTACGATAACGATTATAGCGCGAGTCATATACATATACAAAATATATATTCTACAAACAATATCTAATATATTAAAGCGAGAATAAATTATGCGAATATATACGCCAACGTGTTTCATCGCGTTCCCTTGAATTCGTCCTCGCTCGCGCGCGATCGTATTATCTAATCGCGCTGGTAGGGGAAAGACTTTGTTTGCGGATCGCTTAATTGCGACTAAAAATGACGCCCACCCCCCCTCCCCCCTTCCCTCGCCGCGTCCGACCGATAGTTGACTAATTGCGCTCGATCACGCGGACCGATCGCCGACACAATTTCGCAACAATGTAACCACCGAGGCCTTGATCGTCGCGATGCGTGCCAGATGCGCGACGAAAAGGTCGGGCCAAGGCGCGTTTGTAAGCTCGAACACGTGCGGCTTAAAAATCTCGCCTCTCGTCGGTATTTTCCATCAATTTTATTCCACTCATCTTGTCTTACATGTCGCGCGCTTCGCATCGCGATCCGGACACGTGCGTCCGGGACTTTTCCGCTTTTATTCGCGCTTCTATTCGTCGGGTATGAGAGCTCGCGGAGACGAAGCTCGTCGGCGAGGGGATATATCGTTATTGTCCCCGTTGTCGTCGCGCGATCTCGTGACTTCGCACAACAGATAGAACGATATCGTCGCCGGCGCCGACGAGCTTATTGTGGACTTGCGCGTGTGTGAGTTGACTTATTGGCTCTCCGTTCAGGCGGACGATCACGTCGCCCGCTTGCAGACCAGCTGTGTGGGCCAGGCCTTCGATCGTCACCTTCAACACATAAGCGGGTTTAATGATAATCGTGAAAACAACGGGAGAAAGAAAAATATATCGTTTTAATTCGAAAATAGCTACTCGAGTGTCTCGCGGCAACATGATTGATTACTTTAGATTTTAATCGGACTCGGGACTTTATAACTCGGGGGGTGTTCGAGGAGAATCACAAGTGATTTGTCTTGTCGCGTGCCTGTCGCAAAATTCAGATATCGATCAGAGCTGTATCTTACCCTGACGACGGTTAAAGGAAAAGCGAAGTCCACGCCTCCGGAGAGCCGAAAGCCCCACGGCTGATTGTTACATCGCGACAGTTTAACGTCGGTGGTGAGGACGTCGCTCGCCATGTCGGGGGATTTAGCGCAATGGCGAACAATTCGTCTTGCCTGAAAGCAAACTTTTGGTCCACGTGTTTTTCAATTGTCTGCAAAATTGCGACCGTCTTTCAATCTTAAATCTAAAATCTCACGGGTTTAAATCTAACTAAGAGACCGCAAAATCTCTTCTTTCTTTTTATGCTCACCACGACGATCCTGTTACTCAAATCAGATCACCCCGCGGTCGAGCACGCCTGATGGGGTACGAGCGACGATCGATGATCGCTGTCCGCTGATCGTCTTTCGGCGTCTGCATCGCGACGCGATTCGAATTTCGTCCCTCGCCCGCATAGAGAAGAGAAAGACAGAGGGAGAGAGAGAGAGAGAGTTGCGCCCGCGCTGAAGCTACATCCTATTTCCGATACGACAAGGGGGATGACATGCGCGAGGCGCGTCCACCAGTTTCGTACGACGAGTATACGCGCCAGACGAGCGGAGGAAAGCCGCGGGACGATCGAATTGGTTTCCGATCTGGTCGGAGATCGGCGAAGGGACGCACACCGATCAGCGCGTTGAATGATCTCCTCTCGGCCGACCTCGTTAGTCGTCACCCCCCTTCTCCCTCTCATCGACTCTCCTTCCTCGAAAACCCCCCCGGTTCATCTCCGCGGTGTCATCTCCTCTCTCGCGCGCCGTGCCGCGAACGTATCGGGGCGGAGGGCGACGTTTGATTTCGCGCGAAGGGCGCACGCCCCGACGACGGGGGTGACCCCCGACCCCGGCCCCGGCTCCGGGTCCCGGCGATACAGCTGAGTCCGTGAGTCCTCGTTGTGTCACGAGCGAGTCCAGTCACACTCCGGACTACCCTCGGACTCGGGGAAAAACTTTTATACGTGGACCCGCGCGTACCCCCCGTGTCAACGTGTGCGCGCTGCCGGGCATGCCCCGCCGCAACAAATCGCGTGCCTTTCCTCCCGGCTAATTGGCAATCGTCCCTCCGGACGATCTCCCGCTTCGCGCGCGTCCACTACGCGGGAAGCGAGGTGCGTTAAATGCCGAGGGTAAGTGGGACGATTATTCGCCGTTCGCCGGACACGATTCGTGTCCCAAGTTCCAACATCCTCGACGCGACCACCCTGTGCCTTCTCGACTCTACCGCGACGATTTTTTTGCATCCTTCCGGCGCGTTTCGCGACGTCCGCGTTATATAACAGATTGCCCTCGCGAGAGGGGAGGGGGACACGTTTTTGAAAAAGATATTACTCATTAAGAGATCTCTCTCGACACGCCGCGTAGAAATTTTTCGCGCGCGCGACACACTTTGCGCACGTTGATTTCGCTTGTTTTCTTCTCTACATCGCGACACGCTTGATTTTTCGGTATTTCGCAGTCGAGAATTAATTCGGCGAAGTGGACGAGACTCGCGATTTCTCTCCGGTTTCTCGGTGGTTCGTCATGTGATCCGCCTTTTGCGGAAATACGATACGACGGAGTCGGTAAAAACGATAAACAAACTGGCGTGTATTTTGAACTTTAAAATAATACATATATATACGTGCACACACGCATGTACATAAATAGCGAGAACTGTCGATATCCAGATTTATCGATTTTTCGAAAAAAAAAAAAAAAATAAAGTGCGTCACTCGTAGTCACGTCGTAATAGGTAGCTGTCCGCAATAAATTACAAATGAGCACGTACGCGTGCGGTGTGTGTGTGTGTGTGTGTGCGGGCGGATACATTATATTATTAATATTTCAGTGATCGGTGGAGTGTCATGGTTCCGGTGAATGGAGATGTCCACCGCTTACGAGTAGCCTCGACTCGCTGCGTGCGGATACGCTTCCGTGCAGTCTCTCCGCGTAAGTTTCACCGCGTTACGTGCGTCAAGGTAATATATGCCCGTCTACGTAATTCTCGCCAGAATTTAGGATGGAAGGAGGATTTTAGGACGATTCCCTTTCCCCCCGCCTCCATTCGTGATTTTACGCGCCATGACCCGTGTAATGCGAAAAACACGTGAAGAATCGAAATGCAATGCATACGTAAAATATATATTAAAATACATATACATATATTCCAATTATAAATAAGAACCTATCCTGAAATTTGACGCGAATTACAGATTATTCAAGGTGGATTTACGACCTCATCCATGCAGAATCATACAAATCGTCGCAAATAAACGAAGAACTGTAATAAATTCTCACAAAACGAAAGGGGTAGGCGTGAATAAGCGTAAATTACGAACTCTAGATTGCAGACTAAACTCCCGTTTCGATGCTCGGTTTAGTTTGGCGTATCGCGTGAAATAAAGTTAGGTGGAGAGAGACGGAGAGGGAGAGAGAGAGAGAGAAAGAGATCGGGAGATAGCACGAGAGAGATACGACGCGAGAGGAAAGCGAGGCTCGAAGAGAGGGGTGAGGACGCGCGGGTTCTGGGGGTAGCTGTGCCATGCCAGTGGCTGCATCGATCGTTTTCTACTGACGCTACAGCGCCCGTCTCCTACGGATGGACAATGCGACCTCGTCGCGCCAGAAAAATACTGTAAATCGCGATAACGAACGCGTTTATATCGCGAGACTCGACTGGAAGTCGGCAACCGTCCCGTCGCCGTCCAAACGACGGGCGAAATGACACGATTGACAGCGTCGCGCGTATCGATCGCGAACCGATCAGCGACTTACACGAGCGAGACTCTCGCTCTCGTTCCCCCGCGCGCGCGTCCTTTTTTAATCGATCGCGCGTTTTGTTTTGTATACGTAGCGAGTACTTTTTCTTTTTAATCGAGCACGCGCTAACGAACTTTCGCTCTTTCTCTTTCTCTTTCGGTCTCGCGATCGATCTCGAACGTTTCCCGCAAGGAGAAACGATTGCCTTCTAATGCTTTCTTCTCGTCCGGAGGGTACGATCGCGCGACGCGCAACCGAGATGGCCAGGCGGGCGCGAGCGAGGCCGAGGGTCGAAGGGGTTGTCGTCTGTCGAGATTTGTTCAAGGTTGAACGAGCCTCACGTATCGTTTGTCAAAGGCCGGGTAAGTCGCTGGAAAATGGACTCTCCTGTGCTCTCCTATGCCGACCGTTCTATTTTGCGACACGCCGAGGAAAACGAGACGAAATCGAGCGACCGGACCGCGCCGCGCCGATAGCGATAGCCGATGCCAGTAATATTCCCGACGCTGTCCGAGGCGTGCGCGTTCTACCTACTCGGTTTTAAAATAGCAAAATACTCCAGCGCGAACGGGCGTGAGGAGGAGACGGAGGCGGAGAAGGTTCTCCGTTCTATCGAACGGCTAATTAGTCTGGCTAATAATTAATCCATCAATTTGTGATCGATCGCCGTTCGATCGCGCGGCGCGCACGGCCTGGTGCGATGGAGCGTGCCGTCTACCGTTTTGCGTTATCTGTTTCTCGACGTAGGCGCGACGGTGTTTCCCCGCGACGGTGTTTCTCCGACGGGAAGTCGAGAGGGCTGAAGGATCACAGGTGGAAACATGCCCGGACGATCGCCGGCAAGGGCGTACGAGCGGCCCACTACGAGCGAGGGTCGCGGGCTCGCCGCCACTTGAATGTCACCGCCGGAGGTGAGAGATAGCTCTGCGGTGAAGTAAGATATTTTGGTGATACGAGGCATTGGCGAGAGAGCGAGAGTGAGAGAACCTCGTAACGATCCTCCCAGCCGTCGAGTTCCAGAGTTAAACCAAAGTTACCGCAAGCTGCCCGCGATATTTCGCACCTACGGCTAATTTATTTATCGATGGGGCGGAGGAGATCGTTAACCCTTCGTAGTCACACTGGGTCAATTTGACCCGCGCTCATTAGGTATAGAGACCGTAAATCATGTATTCGTTCACGATTTTTTTTCAACATGTTGCCATTTTATTTCTTACAAAACCGCAGTTGTTTTATATTCTAGAATGTTCAAGGTACGTTCCAGAATTATTTGAACCCGATCGGACCGATACCATTAAAATGGCAACCATTCAAAATCGAGACTGGGTCAATATGACCCAGTATGTCAATGTGACTACGAAGGGTTAACTCGAGATGTCACCAAATTACCTTATCTTATCCCCCCTCGATAAATATATTATTCTCGAGTAAATCAACATCTCGGAGCTTTCTCGTTTCGTTACAAGAACAAATGACCAGGGCGCGGGATGGGCGAGTCCTGGCTCTCGGTCCTACTCGCTGCCACGCTGACAACGATGACGATGATGGCGGTGACGACGAAGGCCGACTCATCCTCGACGCCGTCTCTGTCGACGACCGCTCGTGACGACATCGTCGACTCCAAACGGGTTTGTTTTTCTTCATCGACGCTTCCCGACCCGACTATCGATTAGGATCCATCGCGATTCCCGACCTTTAATTCTAACGCGCCGTTCTCCGATTCTTCCGAAGGCGGCCATCGAGGAAGCCCTGGACGTGATAGAGGCGGCATCGACGGGCTCCTTGGGCGAGGTTTGCGTCAGCACGGCGGGATTTAAATCCCTTCCGGCTGGCGTCGTCCTGGACCCGAGGCGTTACGACACGGCGCGTCAGAAGGCCGACATGACCGCTATGGTGCTACGGAATCTCGGGGCTGCTGAGGCGATGCGACGTGACGGTGAGTCGAGGCCATGACGGTCAGGGAATACTAATCTCGGATCATCGTATAAAGGAGAGCGTTCTTCCCTTTTGGAACGCGACGTACAATTGAACATTTGACGCGCGCGTTGTTTGGCGAAATAAAAGACGGCTATTCAAGCGTGACAAATGATCCGGAATTAGTGACCCCAATCTACTTCCCTTCCTCTACCTGCCGCTTATTGGCGGCACCTGTTGCGCGCGGTTAGCAATGCGTCGCGCGCCGAAGGTGATCGTTTAACACACGGCGGTCGTGGAACCGGCCGAGGATGTTCGCTAAAAAAAAAAAAAAAAACGGAATTGCGTAGCTCTTTTAGACGCCCTGACCAAGTCCCTGCTCGTGTCGGTGGACGACGCGGTGGAGGCGAGGGTGATCGCGCTCAACGCGTCCACCGGCACGGTGATCACCGCGGTGTGGCTGAAACGCAGCCCCGGGAGCGTCGGCGAGCCCTCCGAGGTCGAGAGCCACGCGGTCCAGCCCGGATCGCAACCGGATCCCAGCCTGCCATGGTTCGAGAACGCAGGCGGCAGCGCCGAATTAAGGTTCGCGCCTCGTCGCACCCTATCGCGCAACTGTGTATCTGGCAGAAGTCAAACTTTCTGAAATCTTTCATCTTCCATTATTCAGCGTCAATAATACTGTACGGTCCGTTACCGACGATACAATTGCTGGAGAGATAAATCCCACACGAAGAAATAGAACTGAGTTTTTTTTTATTTTTACCTTCGATTTTCTCGAAGTCCTTCGCGTAAAGAAGACTCTTTTTTCATGTACATTTTTTATAGAGTTTTCTTCTCAATTGTATCTTCGATAACGGACCACCCTATATTTCTTCCTAAAAATAAGCACGCACGCACGCACGCACACGCACCTTTTCAGCACTGTCTTGCACCCTGTCACGCACCCTGTTCATGCTTAAAATGTTGTCTTTCTCTTCTATCGGTGAAGTATAGAATCGAAAGATACGGGTCTGTTCACAAAATGATTTTATTCAGATTTTATTCAGAAGAAACAAGACTTACATGTCATATTTTATGTGCTTTGAATTAAAATTAAAACGTTTAAATTATAAATCATTTATATTATTTTAGAGATAACATATCTTGAAGATTTATTGCGATTCCAATATAATTATTATCAATTATATTGATAGCCTTGTCCATAATTTCCCTGTTCAAAAATATTATATTACAAAATTAATATTTTTATCAAGAATATGTGAGAGAGGCAATGGGAGCCAAGCGCGGAAATATTTTTCTTGGAATATTTTTATTCCAAGCATATTCATTAAATTAATTCATAGATAATCAATCGATACGACATGCTTTAGTAAAGAACCACGAGAAACTACTCGAAATCATACTGTAATGTAAATTTATTACCTGCCTTTGATTAGCAATTTTAACTTATTTACATTTGAGTAAGAAAACCACAAAAAACTGCTCGAAATCATACTGTAATGTAAATTGATTACCTGCCTTTGACAAGCAATTCTAACTTATTTACATTTGAGTAAAAAACTGCTCGAAATTATACTGTAATATATTGATTACCTGCCTTTGATTGGACAGATCTAACTTATTTACATTTGATAAATATTAATCTTTCGTTTTTAAAAAGTAATCATGAATATTTAACGAAGAAATCTTACAATATAGCTATTTTATCCTTGAGTTTATATGCGTTACTCCAGAGTTAAGAACTCAAATGTTTAAAATGTAAATCTATTAAAAAAAAAAAAAATGTATAAATATTAACGGTGGACAGACCCATATACGTCGAAAACAATTCGCTAGAAGAGAATCGCGCTGATCTTGCATAGGGGCGCTCCACGATCATTCATCATCCCTCATCATCCCGTACTAGCGTCAAGTCATAGAAACTCGATAGTTACTCGCGGACGATTCTGAAATACGCGATTTTGCAAGAGACTTTGAGAAACCTTGTGTCGCCGTGTTTCAATCAACGGCCATTAGCGAGCGATACCGGGGGATGACCGTGAAGTGCCGGGGCGTTTATACGACTTTCGTTGCACGAAAGAAAACGTGTGTTCACCAGAAGAAATGTCGAAGTTTCTATGGCGGCTTGTGGCGTTTGCGTGTGATCCCAGGTCACCGAAATTCATGCAGTCACCGCCGATTGAATCCTACAGGGGTTGGTGGACCATCCCGTACTTCTCCTGCAAAACTCGCCGCTGGCTCATTTCGTATAGCGTCAACGTGAAGCCGCCGGATGTCCGACCCGGGTTGGTATATACAGCTCTCGCTTGTGGAAAAAAAGAACTTGTCTAATTTAACGCTCGTTCGTAAATAAACTACTTCTGACGAAACTCGATCGTTTTTCTTTTTGGTCTTCTTTCCTTGAAGGGTGCGGGAGTTTATCAGTATGGATATCGATATAAGCGGACTGGAGGTGAACCAGTGCGAGGCCCCGGCGCAAAGCCGTGACAAAGCAAACGACGGACTCGAGGCACCCTCGAGCAATCAGATAGCCTTTTTTAGGGGCACCCACAAGTGTCACGCCGATACCACGCAAGTAAATGTCGCAAACGTGACCTCCGCGGCCTATATTATTCTCACGAATCGGGAAATGATAAAAAGTAAGACCTCTCTTTTTGGTTTAGTGCGTGTATCAGGGGCCCGGTAGCCGAGTGAATGAAAACGGGGTGGGCGCTGGCTGGGCGAAAGGCGCGTACGTGTGTAAGTGTCGGCAAGGCTTTTACAGCGTCAGCCATCATCGGTTGGGTGATTTCCACGGAATTCTCGTGGAAGGTCAGACTCAGACTTATTGTTGTATATTTGTCGGTTGTCTCGTGCATCTAATCCTCCGGTCATATTTATTACAGCCGCGTGGAAGGAAATGAGGGAGAACAAGAGTGACTCCTACGAGAGGGTATTTCTATGTCTGCGCTGCGCCCCGGGATGCGCCAGGTGCAAGGGCCCCGAGCCTTGCTTGGCGACGTACAACTGGCCGTTTAGGTACTCATCTCTCGAACTGTCCGTATTTTTTAATTTTGTCGCTCGACGTTATCTCAATCGTGTGTCACTCTTTAAGAATCTCGCTGCTAGCTGTTTCAATTTTCTGCGCGTTGGGCACCATCATCCTGGTGGCGTACATGTATCAGCACCGTAAACTAAAGGTATTCAAGGTCGCTTCCCCGATATTTCTGTCTATCACGCTTCTGGGCTGCGCCTTGATGTATCTCGAGGTAAGCGGAGAAACGCTCTATTCCCTTTTCTTTTCTCTTAAAAGTTTCCCGTTTTGTGCTAGTTTATACTAATCAGGAACTCCCGTTCGCTGTAGATGGCCGCTATATTCCCGGTCCTCGATATGTATTCGTGCATCGCCACAAAGTGGACGAGGCACATGGGATTCTGCGTCTCGTATACGGCGTTGCTGATGAAAACCTGGCGGTAAGCAGCTGCGATAAGCGCCATCACATCGTTGAAAGTACGGGCGGGTAAAGAATTGAAAAAAGTTAAAGTTTGTTTCGTGAAATAAAGCGATTCTCGATTTCAAAGTCTAATCACTGGCTTTTTTTCAAGAGATATTAATGATAAGATACTGCGCCTCAGTAAATTTGTTGCGACTGGTCCGCATCTTCAGCGGTTCAGTTTTATAACTCGGTCCCCCGCGGTGGCGGAGAAATCCGAATAAATGTGTTTGTCCGCAGGGTTTCGCTTACATACCGGGTGAAAAGCGCCCACAAAGTTAAGCTGACGGACAAACAGCTGCTACAATGGATGGTGCCCATCCTGCTGGTGATGCTGATCTATCTCGGCACGTGGACCGTCAGCTCGCCGCCTTACGCTGAGGTAATCACGGATAATCACGACTTGAAGTTCTACCAGTGTTCTTACAACTGGTGGGATCACAGCTTGGCTATCGGTAAGTATAATACGGAAACGATTCCACGATGTCTTTATCTCAGAACGCCAATGAAGTGATCGATAAACGATTCTGCTTTAAGGTGAAATTCTCTTTCTCGCCTGGGGCATAAAGGTATGTTACAACGTGCGAAACGCGGAGAGTCTGTTTAACGAGGCCCGTTTGATAAGTTACGCCATTTACAATATAGCCGCGGTGAATATAACCATGATAGCCATTCAGTACGTAGTCAACGCAAATATATTATTACATATGAAACCTATCTTGCGACAATACGTTATATATCATCGAATAAATTGTCCGTAGCCTCTTCATATTTCCTCGTGCCGGGCCGGATATCAAATACCTGTTAGGCTTCCTGCGGACTCAGCTCTCGACGTCCGTTACGGTCTTCCTCGTATTCGGCCCTAAAGTAAGACAATTACGGACGATCTCATAATCATTGTGGACACTGAAAAGATCAGTCTTTTAATATTAAAACAGCCCCGTGTGGAAAACAGTCTTGCTCTGAGAAATCGGATCGATCTTTTCAATATCCATTCTTTTTATGCTTTTATTCTCCCTGATTGTAATTGATGATTTATTTCCAATTGGTGTGTTCAGGTAATCAGAGTATTGCGAGGTCAGGGGGATCAGTGGGACAGTCGAGCGAGAGCACGCGGCGTCACCGCGAGCTTCTCTCTGAACGGAATTGGTTTGGTGCCGGAGGAGACGACGGATTTATTTCAGGAAAACGAAGAGCTTAAGGTACGCTCTTGTTCCCCTTTATGGGCGGTACATCTTTATGGGCGGTATTCATATAGTCAGATCTTATATTAAGATTGTCTCGAGTTTATCTTCAGACGTTGTACGACTCGTTTTACTGGCTACGAAGTATTTAAAGATGAACTTAAGACGATCTTACATATAATCTGACTATGAACGCCGGTCTGTATTGACGACGTGAATTCGAATTCGAAATTTCAACTTTTTGCCCCGTCGTGAATTCTCTGTATCAGGAGGAGATTCAGAAGTTGGCCGCGCGAATCGAATTCATGAAGATAGTGCACATGGAGATGCACAACCGACACATCAAGCCGAAGATGGGCGGTTACTTCAGCACGCACGGTCACGGTCACGGGCATCCATCCGCCAGCCAGAGTCCCATCGCCAAGAGCTCGACGGCCAGCTTTATTCTCAAAGTATGTACCTAAATCGTTTCACTCCTTTCGCCATTCGATCAACTTTTAGGACATATACGGAATTTCTGGACCCGGCGACGCGAGCGAAATAAAATTACCGTCGTTCTTCCTGAGAAATTTGATTTTACCGTTTACATTAATTTACTCATGTCACGTTTTAAAGATTGCCGAGATAAATCTCTATTTTCTACGAAAAGAGTCGTGGATAAAAATTATCTCGCGAAACTCCTCATTTCTCTTTTTTCTTTCGTCGAATCTTTTAGACGTTGTGTTGTATAAACGCGGACAGGAAATATGGAATCGCGGATATGGCAAAGTTCGCGCGAAAACTTCCGCACCAGTCCGTTTTCTCGTATCCGTATTTGTACGAGTCCGCTAAGAGAGCGTCTTGGGAAATAAATTGGAGTAATTTATTGAGCAGACTGCCGTGGAGCGAGGTGCAACGGCAGCCGCGGCCGCGGCCGTCGAGGACTCGACCTTTCCGTCCGGAAGTCTCCACAGAGCGCGAAGGTCGGAGATGCTGAGGGAGAGGAAGGCGGAGAGGGAGAGGGAGCGCGAAAAGGAGCGGAACAAGGATAAAGAACAGAAGGAGAGGCCGCGATCGAGTGGCGAGAAGGTTTGACTAGTGGTCAATAGCGAGGAGGTAAAGAACTTTGACCCATTTATCTTATCGCGCTAATCAGCACGAATCGGTCTAAATTCATCTTTCTCTTGTCGACAGGTGTGGTTGTGACGAAGACAGTGTCCCGACGAAAGTAGGAACACGCGGAGAAGTCGGAGAAAGAGGAGGAAGAAGAAACTGGAGATATTCAGGTTGTATCCTCTAAAGGACAGGAGACTGCCCGTATTCGTATGAAACGCCATATAATCAAAAACTCATCGCGATCACTGTCTTCGCGCCGTTGTGTGATAGCGATATCTTCGTAATCAATTCCTAGGTGTACGATATATCTCTTAATTGAAATCAAAATCTTTGATGAATCTGAGACACGCGGACAAGCGAAAGGCGACGGCGACGGCGAGTATTTCGTGTCTCCGTTTATTTTTGTAACCAGCGGCTGTCAAGAGCGGGCAATTCTATTACTCGTATAAATCGATATCTCTCGTTTCTTCTGATATAATATGATATAATACAAAAAGCGCTCTCTCTCGAATGACACGCCGTTGGCGCGACGGCGAACTGTACAGGAAATTGTATTTAAAGAAATATAGGGAAGTTTCATCGAGAGATTCGAACGGAACGATCGAAATGAAACCGCGATACCAAAGCTGTCACAAATGCACAAAGGACACGCGAGGCGAGTTCCGCGAGTTGTCGTCGTCGTCTTCTTCAACGGTACCCTTCGCTTTCCGCAAGCGCGCGCGCGCGCGGCGTCGTCGTCATCGTTGCGAGCATCCGATAGAATTGTAAGAAACGCGTGACTCTGAGTTATCTCCTTGTCAAAATCGTTTTGAATACGGGGCGCGATAAGCGCACCGACTTTTGCCGAGCAGCGTCAAAGCCGTGTAGGCATTTCGATATTAAGGACAGCGAAGGGCGCGAAGATGCCTTTCTTAAATGTTACATTAAGTCGTCGTATTCCCGGATTTCAAATAGCACCGTTTCCGGCGGCTTTATCACGCCGGGGTGACACATCGCCCTCCTCATCGTCCCGTCGACGAATATCTAAATACCACAATTTGAATGTGAATGTTTAATTTAAGCGAGTAATATAATACGAGTATAACAGGCGCGTATTTTCCCCGACTTGAACGCTCGACAAGTTTAACGCGTTATAAGTATTGCCATTGAATACAAAATGCAGAATCATTTCCGTTTGCACGTTTAAGTTTGTGACCTCATTTGCGAATCGTATACACATTCGAGGTGAGACGCAAACTCTCCCTCGCGGCTCTCATTTGTATACCGCCTTATCCGATTTGTATTACATTTTGCTCGTTTCCGAACGTAGAATCACATTCCGAGTTGCGAACAACCGAGCGATAATTATTCGTAACAGATTTGTATAAATGTTACATGTGACAATAAAGTTACACAACGGGCTGTAAAAAAAAAGAAGAAGAAGAAGAGATATCAACTTTGCTGACGATCGTAGATTCGCGTTTGGGGAAAAAAGACGATAAGGAGAAAAAAAAAGAATGAAAAAAGCCTGAAAAGAGAGTAGAGACATAAAATCGTGCGATAAAGCGATTGACAGTCGATGAAATCTTTGCCTTGTTAGTTTACACTTTTTTAAGGGTGCTTACGTTTTCACGAGATAGAACGCTGTTATCGTAGATCGCGTATACAGTCGTGCGTTGACAACGACCGACAGAAATATTGCTGTTCGTGTCTAAGATATTTATCGTAACACGTAATAATTGTTGAATAATGTGGGGGAAGGGGAGGCGCAGAAATATATGGGTGATAGATATATGTGTATGTGCGTTGCCAGTACAACGTAGATAATATTCGATGACGAAAGTCGAATGTAGTAAACTTTGCGCGAGATTTTCACGTCTATCGATCGGGTTGCATTTTATTTTCTTACGGATATCGCGCGATAGAGCGTCCGCTTGAAAATAGAAATCGGTTTTGGCCCGCCCGAATTCGTTCCCTTTTACGCACAATCGATGTTTTTCATCAACGACACTTTTCCAGTAGTCTTTAAGTCGTTCCTGCATTATCGGAGCGTCCAAAGACGACGCTCGCCGTGAACATGATTTTTAATGAGGAAATTTTTCACACTTCTCTCGCACAAGTTTATCCAGTTTCGATGTAGGGACGAAGATTTCGATTTTTCGCCGAGAAGAGAATTGTCAATTGAAGAGTTTAGAGAGCGCGGTGAATCAATTTTGGGGATCGCCATAAAGTCGAATCTGTCGCGCGGAGAAGCCTGGCTTTAGACTTCGCGACGGCATTGTACATCCGTTTTAGGAGGATTGAACGGTGGCCGGCACAATAAGATTCCCATTCTCGTTTCCGATTAAGTACAAATCAAAAACGCGAGATAAGGCCCTCGTTGCGTTATAGAGCACTCTGCGCTCGATGTAAAATATCGTAAGATGCGCCAAGAAGCTTGTGACGCGCGCGATAGCTCGCGACAATAGTAATCGTAATAAGAGACGAAACGCTTTCGGTGTTGCGTGTTATACGTGTGAAAAATCCGCGGGTGCGCGGAGTCGCGCCGAGGTCGGCGAGCGAGTTGCGAGTTCGATCCACGTAGATCCTGTTTTAGTGTATAAACTCCGGCGTTATTTTTTCGATACGAGGGGAAGGAGGCGAGATTTCCGCGTGCCGAGCACGTGCGCGCGAGAGAAAGGACGAGGAAGGAGAGAGGAGGATCTAACGCGCGGATCCCGTTCCATTCGATCCCATCCCTGTCCCGCCGAACAAATCAAACAGTTATATATGTAGAACCGGACACATATTTGTAAAGGTATACTGTATGTCTCTCAATGAATACAATGATATTGGAGACTAACAATTAAGAGAGGTGCTTCCTTCCCTGGTACTCCCATTCTCATCTTTGGAGCGAATCCGGGGCGCGATATAGGATTCACCAGCTTGGACAAGAAGGGACAAGAAGCGGGGATGAGGTTCTCGTCTTCACTTGAAAATTTATTTACACGCGCTACACACTATATATAGAATGCAAGATATGAACCTTTCGCATACCTCGCACGGCAGCGACGCAGGGTGTCTATATCACTGAAAATAATTGCACGTTACCACGGGAATGGACACGGTCACGGATGGGCGAACGGTGTGTCCGTGAGATCGAGCAACAGCCAGTTCAACAAAACAGAACGCAATTCTTACGATAACAATCAATTTGTATATACAACAGTAATAACCAATTATAATGACACTGATGACACCACATGATTATCCGACGTGTACCGAGCGGACGTTCGCGAATGTTTCGAATTAGGGCCGATTCGACGAACGTTCGCGGTAAGACGAGGCTATACCTCGTCGACATTGTCGGCACAATGTTGCACAAATCGTAAAACTCTATAAAAGAAATACGCCTATATATCAGTCGCGAATCTAAATAAATCGAGAGGAACCCTAGGCCCATTTATTTACGTCGAGATTGTGCGAGTACTCGCGCAATTCTCGTCTTTATTTAGCTATTCGCGTCTTAGGAGCGCACCCCGATTATATATATATCTTCTTACTTTTTTATTATTCATTAACATAGAGGGAAAATTCGGTAAAACTGCTCTGATAAGATTTAAGTAAGCCGATTGAATTATTTAGAGTGCCGGCTCAATTTCAGACATTCTTACATCATTATTATTAATGATGTGAGTTTCGAAATTTACATTATAATAAATGATGTGAATTCAGACTTATCATTATTATTAATGATGCTAGAACCCAAGTTGAACCCTCCTGGAGAAGAGCTGTCTCGGGTGGACACGTTGGCTTCTTTCAGGTTTCATTATAGTTTGCAACTTTTATGGAAAGAGAAAGTTCTCCAACTTCCACCATGGGAAGATCAAGCTTTGCTTTTTGGAGCTTATTATTGTTATTCCCTGGAGGTTTCCCGTTATCCAAGAGACGGTAGTACCTGAGAAATATTCGAGTACTCGCACACCCCTAATTTACGCCGTCGTCGCGTGGCAGAGTGTTGTACGCGTAGTCTAACATTTGGACATTTTGTACTTGACGTATTATAGTCGCGCGTATGACAAAATATTACCACGTAGGCATGACTCACACTGTATCAGATACTATTGGTGTACTACATTATTGCAACCTAGTACGTACGACATTACTGTGCACTGGCGGATCCTAGAAGAAGGTTTAATGGTTAAAACTCTCCCCTTCTAAATAAAAAAAATTAATTTTGCTAGATTTATTTTAAAAATCTAAGAAAAAATAGAAAAAATGTTTTTAAAGTAAAAATGGGATGTAATGTTTCACCACATCTTCATGGTTGATTCTTGAGTAAAAGCGTGATACTAAGAAAAATATCAAACCAAATAACTTTGTTGAAACAACACCCCAATATCGACGTCAAAATCTGCTAGTGCCAGTATGTGTATATGCATATGTCACGCGCCTCTTGTAATGGTCTCACATTAGAATAACGTCATTCACACACGTCATTTCGTACAATGGGCATGGATACTTTCATTCACGGAGTGAACATTTTCGAGAATCTCAAACCAAGATATATTGCATTGTGAAATATTGAGCGACGTTACGTTGGAAGATCAAAATTGTTTACAGTGAAAGTCAAGCCATAATCTTCACGCGTATATTATTTGGTCGGGTTTATACACATATATATTTATGTTATGTGTATGTGTGTGTGTTGCGCGCTTGCGCGTGTGTATGTGTATATAGAGCGCAGGTATTCCTTTATATTAATCTTACTGTTCGATACTAATGATACCAATCGATGACGATGCACCTAGTCGACGATAAACGACACTCTCGACTCTCGCTCATGCTGTTGGATTCTTTGGAGGCTCGTGCGCTTTGGTAATAACGTTAGTAGTCGATATCTCAGGTACTTACGTTAAACAGTTCGCAGTAACAGCGACGCGAGTGCTCGTTTGCATATACGTATATATCCGATCGCGGACGAGAAAAACATTATAAGCCCTATTAAAGTTGAAATAGACTCGGGGAAAAAGATACCACGACTTTTCGTAGAAGCTCGATAGATTTCTCCCTTCTTTATGTTGCATTGATCATCGTGTTTCACGATTGTGCATAGAAAAATATGGTTTACGGATATTTGTAAATCCAGATTCCACAAAATGAAGAATTTTATTTAAACAATATCCTGGCCATTTTCGACCTGGCAGCCGCGGTTGTCTTTTTCCCTTTGGGACGAATCGTCATCGTCACGATGCGCTTCTTTCCTCTTGCCATCGTCTCCAGTATTCCCGGAATTTTCACTCTTATTCGTCGAATTCGCGGAATGCGACTTGTTCAATAGAGAGCTAAACTCGCCAAACTTTAAAATTTCTTCCATCATCGCAGATTGCTCCAAATTAACCTGAAACGTTTACAGATAGCTGGTATCCGACTAGGCCATCAGAAAGAAGCTCAGTGTACATACAGTCCGTCATGAAAGAGCGCTGTCTGAAGGAGAAATTATTATTTCAAAAAAATATGAGAAAGAAACACGCAGACAAATTGCAATGCGGACAAACATTCTTATGTGACGGGCTGCAATTACAAATTCTCCGATATCTCTTGCACTACCTTACGTGGTCTGCCGCGTTTGCCCTTCGTTGGTAACGAGGGGACTGTTTGGTTGCCCTTTCTCTTCGGCCATTGCAAGTGCGAATCCAGATGTTGCTTCAGCTTGTCCTGCCTAGCGAACATTCGCGGGCAGATACTGCAGGCGAAGGGTCTTTCGCCCGTGTGCACTCTTCTATGCCTCGCCAAGTGCGACGCTCTCGTGAAAGCCAAAGTACAAAGGTCGCAGGAGAAGGGCTTGTGTTGCGCCCTTTCGGATTTGCTCAGCGTCCTTGTCTCTCTTCCCTCGTTTCCTCCTACTCTCTTCATGACGTCGTATTTCCTCTTCACACCCACCTTCGACGGTTCGTCCGAGCTTTTCGAAGTTTCCTATAAATTAACGAACAAAATTGTTTTAAAACCTTTGTAGAAGCGATTATAAATCAAAAAGTTATTGTATTATATAAAAAAAATATCAGAGAAAAGAACGTTACGCCTCAATATATAATCTTATATGTATACTTGTATATGTATACACATATAAAACGCATATGGAGAGAAAAAGAATTTTGCTGTCGCGGCAAAACTGTCGCTGCGATTGCATATTTCGCGAGAAAACGATTAAGCCTTGCTACTATAATTAGTTATTACAGCACAATCTGTTTTGTTGATAAAATAAAAAAATCTTA